CGCGCGGTTGGTTGAATCTGTGGTTTCCAACCTGCAGATAATTTATACTCGGGTTTTTGACTTTGTGGAGGGTCGGCGCCTCTAGCCCCTCCAAACTATCGATATAGGTTGTATCAATATTAAAAGGATAGTAAAGGAATATTATGAACTTCAGTAACTTAGATGAAATGGACAGTTTCTTGAAAGACGAACTTCTAAAGCTCTCTCAAAGAGAAATAGATAACCTGGTTAGCCCTGTATCTATTTTATTAAAATCTAAAAATCAGTATTTGATTTAGTTATTGGAGACCTTTTAAGCATGGTTAGAAATGGCATATAAACCTACTTTTTTCTTTTTTTCTTTTTTAAAAATTGAGATATAATTGGCATATGACACTGAGTTTGAGGTGCACGTGTTGGTTTGATACATTTGTATAATGCACTGTGACGGCCGTAGTGTTAGCTAACACCTTTATCATGCCACATCATTATCATTTCTTTTTTTGTGTTGAGAACAGTTAAGATCTAGTCTCTTAGTAACTTTGAAGTTTAAAATACCATTTTGTTGACTATAATCACTAAGCTGTGCGTTAGATCTCCAGGTTTTATTTAAGTAAACCTACTTTTTCAACTGTGAATTTTATGGAGTCTCTATACGAATAAAATACTTCTGATGAAAATTTTGTGTTTGAATTGGGATGTGCTGTAAAAAAGATTGTTATATATCCCAGTAATTTTTTCGTATTGATTACATGTTAAAATAATGTTTTGGATATATTGGGTTAAATGAAATATATTATTAAAATTAATTTTACCTGTTTCTCTTTATTTTTGTGTCTATTAGGAAGTATGAAATTGCACTTGTAGCTCACATTCTATTTCCGTAGCACCACTTTGAGCAGCGCCTGGATGCTGTGCCAGCATCCCAGGGACCTTTCCTCTTTATTCACAGGAGTATTCCACAGAGATGAGGTCTGAAATATTGCTGAGGGGCACATTTTTTTTCTTGCTCGTACTTGTTTGTTGATCACTGCTAATGTGGTTCTTTGCTTTCTCTTAGGCTTCTGGCTCTTCTGACTCTTGGTAGGAATTGTGAGGTAGAGAGAGAGTGGGGAGGAGGCCCTTTATTTTCAGAGGACTCTAGACTGAGATGTTTCAAGAATAGCAGCTTTGTCCAGGGGCTGTATTACTGCCGGGCCATCCCTCACTGTGCTGTGAAGTCAGTTACATGCACATGGCCATGGGTCTCTCTCTCTCTTGGCTGTGTTTAGCCAATTGGATCACAACTGCCTGACAGGCTCTCTCAGTTAAACTTTTTTTTTTTTGTGGTACGCGGGCCTCTCACTGTTGTGGCCTCTCCCGTTGCGGAGCACAGGCTCTGGACGTGCAGGTTCAGCGGCCGTGGCTGGCGGGCCCAGCCGCTCCGCGGCATGTGGGATCTTCCCGGACCGGGGCACGAACCCGTGTCCCCTGCATCGGCAGGCGGACTCTCAACCACTGCGCCACCAGGGAAGCCCTCAGTTAAACTTTTAAAAGTCATTTACAAGCATCGCCTAGATTCCAGTTCTTGGGACTGATGGAGCAACAAAAACACAGCCTGGCCATGATCATGTTGAGTTTGGAACATATTGAAAGCAAGATGAAAAAGGAGTAAAGGAGTGATATTGGTATATTGATTTTCTAGGTTCTGAGAATATTGTAAGAGTAGGAGTAACTTGTCGGCAGAGGGCAGATGCTATCTGAGATTTAAGTATCTGAAGCCGTGTCTTTTTCTTTTTTTGAATTGAGTTAAAGTACATACAAAGGCAGTGTCTTTTTAAGGTTTTTTGACTAAAACTCAAACAAAATAAGATTGTCTTGCAAGTACACTTCTATTTTTAAGAAATTCTTAAATTTTAGAATAGTTTTAGATTTACAGAACAATTACAAAGATAGTATAGAGTGTTCCCATAAACTCCACATGCAGTTACCCAAATTATTAGCATCTTACATTACTGTGGTGCAATTTTCACAATGAACGACTCAATATTGGTATACTGTTAGCCTTAATTTTTATGTAATGTCCTTTTTCTGTTCCAGAATCCCACATAGGATACCAGAAACGTTTCGTCGTCATGTCTTCTGAGGTTCCTTTTGGCCGTGACAGTCTCTCTTCTTTTTTTACTTAGAAATTCTCCAGAATTTCAGAAACTTCTGGGCATCGCTATGGAACTTTTTCTGCTGTGCAGTGATGACGCAGAGTCAGATGTCAGGATGGTGGCTGACGAGTGCCTCAACAAAGTCATAAAAGTAAGAGCCCTGTGGACCGTGTTCTACGAGCTGTGACCGTTGTAGCTAAGAGAAGAAACCATGACTTAGGGTTCTTTTGTTTTGAGTAGCAAAGCCCCTTAGGACGTCTGCACTGTTTCCATTTATGGTGTGTGGTTTGGAGGCTCTCTGCTGTGTGCCAGCGTGCCGGCTGCACCTGCCCCATCAGCAGCGTGCCGGCTGCACCTGCCCCATCAGAGGGAGTGGGTTTGCCCTCGTACCTGCGCAGGGCATAGGTCAGGGGTGGGCGCTGATGGTGGCCACTGGGTGCTCTTGGGGAAAACATCACTTTGTTGAGAAACCATGAGGCCTTGAAAGGCAGGGGGATGGGGAGTGGGATCCGCTTTTGGTGTCTTTGTCTCCTAAGACCTGGGTCAGGCAGTACTGTTTGCAGGTAAAGACGTGCCTTCTCTGGTAGCTGTGCTGGAGTTAGTGTGACATGACTGGAGAGTTAGGAGTTCCCAGAAAAAGTTGATGAAGCCAGAAAGCCAGAGCTACCTGGGTGGTAGGTGAGGTAAGGAGAGGGCGGGGGACACCTGTCCTCTTCGCTTACTGCTTCCCGGTGCAGCGTTAGTACCCAAGACCACTGTAGCTTTAATCCACTTTTCCCTTTTTTTGTTTTCTGCTGCCATTGAAGATAAAGTCTTTCTTCCATAATTCTTACAGTGTTGGAAAACAATCCTTGTGTTTCTCATTCTGCCATTCTCCTAGTTTGTATCCTCAACCACCCTGGGCACCTTCTTCCAGGTCACCTTTGAGTGTGTGAACGAGCCTTTTGAATTTTGTGTCTAAGCTCATATATTGTTCCCACCATAGGCTAACCAGTGCCGAGGAAGGTTCGCTGACACAGTTCTTGATGCTTTCTCCAAAAACGATTTCTTGGTAATGGTTAAGGAGAAAATGTATCTTGTTCCTTTCTCTGCAAGGAATCCCTGCTTATTGGATCTTTCCAGTTTTTCCTGATTTTTCCCTTACTGTTTTGAGTTCCACCCCTGAAATTTAGATAAGGCCACATCTTTTTATTTTCCTTGAAGGCTCTCTTCCTAGTAATACTTACTTGGCCAGATGAACCAAGAACTCCACCCTAACATAGGTTAGTTGAATATTTCCCTCCTTATTAGGATCTTGAAAACCAAAACTGTTCTTTGGAGTCTCCCCAAGGGCTTTCTCTGGAGAGTGGTCACACTTTACATTGGCCAAGAAATTGTCCTTCACTTTTCTGTCGTGGGTCCAGCTTCCTCGGGAAGACGGTCACCCTTTACTCCTGTGTTAAGGAGGTGGGGCACAAGGAGGTTCTGAAGTGAAGGAGGCCTGCGCTTGAACCTGGCCTCTGCTGCCCACTCGCTGAGCAGCTTCGGGAGATGTACCTCATTCTGCGAGCCTCGGTCTCATTAACCATAGAGGGAATCGGACACGGTTTTGTGGTGTGCGTGAGTGTGAGGATCGAGTGCAGTGACGTGCGTGACGGGTTAGCGTCATCCTGCCCCTGGCTGGGCCTCGGAGTGGCAAGGGGTACTCTTACAGTGAGATTCCTGCTTCCTTAACCAGAGAAGCCAAGGGGCACGCCAGAGCCCCGCTGCTCCCCGCTTTCTGGCATGTGGATCTGTGGGCCACGCTCTCTGTGCTCGGGCGCCAGCTTCCCTGCAGGCACAGGGTTCTGGCTTCTCCATTGGGAGTTGCCTGGTGGTCTCCCTCCACCTGCATTTCACGTCTCCACGCACCTCCCCCTCCCCCCGCCCCCGCAGTGCTGTAGTGGCCACGACCATTTGACCTTGTTCTCTGCCCGGCAGTGTGTGGGTACCACTCAGGTGTGATGGGTCCACAGCACGTTTGGAGGTGGACTTTTTCACTTATACTTGCTTTTCTCTAGGCCTCAACATCCTTGCTGCTTTTTTTTATTCCCACTGGCAGGACCAGACTAGGCTTTTCCTGATATTTCCGTTCTTGAACTCTGATCCTTAGAATCAGGAAGCCTAAAGAAGTCACCACAGGTTGCCTTGTCATGACAAGAACAGGTGAGGAGGGGAGAGAGGACAGCTTGACCCCAAACAGACAAAGAAGGTGGTCATTTTACATGGAGGCACATGCTGCAGAGGGAGACCTGCTTCTGTAACTGCCGTCCAACTAGCCTGGTGTGTGTGTTTGGGGGCTTGGGCCATGGCCTGGTCAGAGCCCTGGGTGCTGGCTTCTCTTCCTGGCCACCTCCCTACTGCCTTCCTATTTCCTCCGCCTTGTTTCTGGCCTCCCAGTGCAGAGGTTCCAACTTCTCACGTTGCGCCCCTGAGCGTAAGACGAGGCCAGTCTCTCAGAACCTCTTCTTTCTGCTTAAAGTCGGACATCCCGGGCTTTGGCTGTGCTCTGATGTCTGCTTCCTCAGATGCGCTGGTCTTCAAGGCCAGCAGGCTGGGGGTGGGGTCAGGGTCTGGCTGACGTGCTCTCACGGTGGCAGAGGAAGGACAGGCTCGGGAGAACTTGGATGGCCCTAGGCCCGGGTGTCAGGGGTGGACAGGAACACATGGATGGTCGCTTAGGAGTCAGGTCCTGGACTTGCGCCTTCTGTTTTTCAGAGTATCATTATATGCTTAGGATGAGGACCCAAGAAAATGGGGCATGCTCTGCTTTTCACTTGTGTAGCAAATGCACTGGGGATGTGCTTCAGCTGACAGCATGCTTCTGCCTTCAGATAATTTACAGTCTTGGGGAGGGGGAAGCATGTTTGTACAGGAATGGCTTAATGCGTGGTGTAAGTTCCGAGACATGCTGGCAACTCGTCGTGGCGGTCAGGAAGTGGAGGTGATTTCTGTCTGGCGAGTCAGAGAAGGCTTCCTGGAGGTGGTGGCTGTTAGGTGAGTGAGGAGATCAGGACCTTCTGAACCCCTGCAGACCCACCTGGGAGGGTGAACGTGTGTGCTGGCAGAGAAGGGGAGGCGTTGAGGATGCATTCAAGGGCTTTGTACTTCATTTGGTAGAGGATGAAGAAAAGGAAGAGCTCGTGAAGATCTTTAACCTGGTCAGAGGAGCGCTTTATTTAGGAAGAGTAGCCTGGGGATGCCGTGTAGCCTACCTTGGAGTGGAGAAAGACTGTGCACCCAGAATCCCTGCGGGAGGCTGAGTAACCCGGGGAGGAGAGATGGGGGCCTTGAACCAGGGCGGCCTGTGAGGCACAGGGGGCCGTCACGGGCTGGACTTGGCTGCTGTGTGTGTTCGCCTCAGTGTGAAGGTGGGGTCAGGAGCCGGGAGGGGTCAGATGGCACCTTCCCATCACCCATGACTGTGAGGGCCCATTCAGTGCTGTTCCAGGGGCTTGAGGTGTACGTTCCTCCTGTAATAAAATAGGTTTGATATCGGTTTATAAAACATTTATAAAGTAAAACAAAACTTTGATATGCCTTCTGGTTTTATTGGCAAAGTAGTGCTTTAATATGTTTGTGCATTTTGGTGTGCTCATTTAAGGAATTTCAGTACACACTGAAACAGCAGAATTAGGATTTTAAAATTTCTGAGACATCATTTGGAACCTCCCAGAAAGTGACCCTGGTTTGATTCTCAAGCTTGCTGAACCTCCGTGAGTTTTACTAAGACCAGCTTGGTTTATAGACATCACATGCTGTACGTCTTAGGAAAGGAGGAGGGCTTTTCTATGGAGGCTTTGTTACGTCTTTCTGCTCTTCTTGTGGACGAGACATTGGCAGTACTGTTTTGGAAGAGAGGGTTCCCACGGCTGAGAGCAGGGCACAGAAGTCTCTCCCTTCTGTCTTGAGAAGCCGCCTTCCACGTGGACTTTGTGTCACTGGCGGTGGTTGCCATCAACCATTCTTACTGGGTTGAAATTGGCTGTGTGGCCATTTTTTGGTTTGGCCCATAAGTGAGCAGAAGGGTCAAGAAATGGCTCTGAGGAGCCTGTGGTTCCAGCAGGTTCAGAGCGTTGCTGCTCCCTGGGGAGCACCCGTGCATCACTGGTGGACCAGACCTTTGGAAAGGACTTGGGCTTCTGCGTGGAGAGGAGTATTCCCACGCCAGAGCTAGGGGCTCTGATCTGGGATGTCCACCCACCGCCCTGCTGGCCCTGCAGACTCCAGGGCATTGCTAATGTTGGATCGTCCAACAGAATGTGCTTTAATTGAATGCAAGAGCTTTAGAATGAGTTTGAACTAGCTACCGTTTAATTTTGATTGTGTAGTATTTGATTGTAATGAAAGTTAAATTTTTTCCTTCCATTTTTAAAATTAAAGTGAATGACCTGTATCTAGTCTGTTTGGTAACTTCCTGCATACATATGCTTCTTTCTTAAAGAATAGGTTCTTAGTTTAGTTGCTATTATATTCTACTTTGCCCCAAAATTGAAATTTTAGCTGCCTTTTAGCTTTCTTTAGAATTGCTAGTAGAATGTGTCTTCTGTGAACAAATCTCTTGTATTTTGTTGTAGGCTTTGATGGATTCTAATCTTCCGAGGTTACAGTTAGAACTCTATAAGGAAATTAAAAAGGTAGGCGTTTGTTTTCCATCGTTGAAAAAGTGCTACTGACTCACTGTATCGAGCAGTGTATGTGAAATTTTGTCTTTGATAAGGAAATAAATGCCGTTTGGTAAAGTAGACTTTATTGTTTTACTTTTCTTCAAAAGGTTGCTCTTCATTATTTATTAGATGGGATGGGAACTAAAATGGTAGTTTAAAAAAATAATCTTTATAATTGCATCCCATTAGACCTTAACATTTCAAAAGTAGTCACACATTTAAATGGCCTTTTCTCTGAAAATAGAAATGAGCAATGAAAGAAATGCTTTTGTTTATTTGAAGTCCTCTTGTGACTCGTGTCTGCGACTCTTAAATGTAACACGCTGCTTCTTAAATCCCTCAGAACGGCGCTCCTCGGAGCCTGCGCGCTGCCCTGTGGAGGTTTGCCGAGCTGGCTCACCTCGTTCGGCCTCAGAAATGCAGGTAAAGTGGGCACTCTGGGTTATTACTATTATTATTATTTTGGGTGGGGGGCCAGCTGCGGTGGATTCTTGCCACCTTGGCTCAAATGTCATTTCTCTAAGGGTCTTCCCTGCCCACTCTGTCTGAAGCTGCCCACCTCTGCCTCTCCAGCTGCAGTACAGGTTGTCCTCATCCTTTTCCTCCGTAAAACTTACAGCTCTCAGGAATACTGTCGCACACTTCATCAGCGTGCTTGTTCGTTTTCTATCCCACCCTCCCCCGAGAGCTGTAGGAGATGTACGTCTCAGGACAGTGGGGGCATCCCTGTCTGGTCCCTGCTGCAGCCCAACACTGATAACGGCGTCTGCACGTGGTACTTGCCGAAAAGATACTTGCCAGGTGGTTGAAGGTTGAGTAGTACCTCATTGTTGCTTACTCTAGGGATTATAGGAAACTATGCCTTTGTCTGTTACGTGGATTAAAAATATGAGTGTTAAACCGTGAATAAAGTTTTGACTGATTGAACCAGTTGTATCTTAATGGATTGAAAAACAAAAGAAGGGCCACAGTTTTCAACTCCTTCCTTCTCTCCTTCACTGGCAAGACGTGCTGACATCCATGGAGCCCTTGGCTCTGCCCGAGGAACTGGTGGAGTGGCAGAAACCCTCTCTTTTAATATGAAACAGTGATTTATTCCACTGAGCCTGACTGTAATGAGTCCTACATGATTGCAGACATACAGTCACTAGGGAAATTTCTCTTTATATAACCTTTTTCTTTTACTATCCTTGTTTTGAAAACTTTGTTATATTTCTGAAGCAACACATCCCCAGTTCTCCACATAGAAGCCAAAGTGACCTCAAAAAACTATGATTGGGTCATGTCATTCCTTTACTTAAACTCTTTACTCATTTCCCAGAGCTGTTCAGATAAATCCAGACTCCTTACCAAGGCCCAGGGAGATCTGGCCCCCAGTGGCCCCCGTCACCTCAGACGCTCTGTTGACTCATTGGCCTGACTTCTTTGAAAAGTTGGGCATGTCTTCCTTCTGATGTCTGGTTTGTTTTCCCTTGGGTCATCTCCTTAGAAGGGCCCGCCTCCCTCCCTGTACAGTCCCAGGGGTACACCTGCTTGCTGCCCGTCTCTGCCACTAGAGGACGCCGCCGTCGCCACCAAGTGCTTGTCCTGTGGCTTCGGCTTATCTGCCCTGTGACTGCTACTCTCCAGTCCTGCGTGGTCTGCTGCTTCTCTGTAGAGGGCCAGGCTTCTCTCTAAGGCCTTACTAAGTTTCAATGCTTAGAAAAAATTTTGTAATGCTCCCTTTTCAAGAAAGCTTTATTCTTATTTCTTAATTTATTTTTTAAATGGTGTTTTCTTATATTATCTGTTATTTTCTAATTTTAAATCTGATTATTTTAATAACTATTATAATTTACTGCAAAGAATTTTTAAAACAAGCTTTTGAGAGTCGTGTGTGTGACTAGAGGAGAAACGAAGGATGAGAGCCTCCCAGCATTTGGGCTTCATCTGCCTTTAGTCTTCTAGCAGAGGTTTGTTTACCTTCCAGGAAGGACTCTTTTGCATGTAAAAACTGGTTTTTCCCTAACAGACGCTGAACTAATCGCTTGTGTTTCTCATTAAGGTAGGCCCTGGAAGAGTAATTAGTGTCCCTCTCACATGTGCAGGCCTTACTTGGTAAACCTTTTGCCTTGCCTGACGCGCACAAGCAAGAGACCCGAGGAGTCTGTCCAGGAGACCTTGGCTGCAGCTGTCCCTAAGATTATGGCTTCTTTTGGCAATTTTGCAAACGACAATGAAATTAAGGTATGATTGCTGCCTCAAGTCACAAGCGTGGAAGTTGGGCTTCTGCACAGGCAGGCATTTGAGAGTACTTCTCGAGTTAGGCTGCGCTTCATAATTTAGATTAAAACCTTTTGAGCTCTTTGGAGGCACACTGAGAGTTTCTTTCCACTTCTGCTTTCTTCACTGTGGGGTGAAAAGAGGAATAGGGAGATGGTTTATAGATGGAAAATCAAAAGGCATTTTGCCAAAACAGACTGTTTTGGGGGTATAAGATTGACTGCTTAGCCTGGCTGAAGAAAGGCTACTGTCCCTGGACTGCAGGCAGGAGAAAGCTCACCGATGATGCCTTGTGCATACGAGTGCCCTGCGGCCGTTGGGAACCACTTAACTTCCTGTTTTTTTTTTGCCCCAGCCAGCAACCTTCAAACTCTCTTTAGTGTTTTGTCTGTAATGTCCAGAAATCATGACCCTGTCACATGGTCTGAGGATTACAGATTCTTTTTTTTTTTTCGGTACACGGGCCTCTCACTGTCGTGGCCTCTCCCGTTGCGGAGCACAGGCTCCGGATGCGCAGGCTCAGCGGCCATGGCTCACAGGCCCAGCTGCTCCGCGGCATGTGGGATCCTCCCAGACCGGGGCACGAACCTGTGTCTCCTGCATCAGCAGGCGGACTCTCAACCACTGCGCCACCAGGGAAGCCCCGATTACAGATTCTTGACTTCCTCCTTTTAGTGGGTCAGTCCCGTGTGAGTGTTTTCCTTGGTATTTCCCTCCACATTTCTAAGTAACTTGCTTATACTGCTGGTTTTGGATTTTTTTATTTTTTACAATGGAAAAGATGAATTCAACTCTAACCCTTCTTCCCTCTTTTTACTACAGTTATATCAGTATTCAGTGTGTACATTATTATACCTAAGTAAATAGTCACAGCTAGTTATGTTCTGTGCCGTGGTTATGTTTCTGTGTATAACTTTTTGGTATTTCTGGAGTCAGTAATTGCCTCTTTTTCATTTGCTTATTATTCTTTGGCAATTTCCGTCTTCTCACAACCTCCCACCAGCGCTGTGTGTCTCAGTTCAGTTGTGCACATGATGAGTAGTTTCCTGGACCCGTTTCCTCCACTGGGGTCGTCCTGGGCTCTGCAGCTGCTGCTCCAGCCTGGTCAGGGCGCCCCTTAGGTCTGTCGCACAGTCATGTCTTGGCTCCCCTGTCCGATGCCTGATTCCTGGCTGCCATGTTTTTGTCTCTCTAGGCTTACTCCTGGAGAGGGGGCTTCCTGATAAAGGATGACTGGCAAGTAAATCGTTTGAGATTCTGCATTAGTGAAAATGCCTTGATTTCTCCCTCACGCTTGGCTGGGCGTAGAGTTCTGGGGTGGAAATCGTCTTCCCTTAGGAATGTACAGGCTTTGCCCCTTTGTCTCATAGTCTCCAGCGGGGCATCCGAGAAGTTGAATGACCTGATCTCTTAGCCTCTGAATGTGTCCTTCTCTAGAAGGTTTTTACTCTTGTGTAGGGGGGGAGTGCTGGGTGCTTGATAGACCTTTTAATTTGGAACGTTCTAGCCTTCAGTTCTGGGAGATGTCCTTATATTTCTCTGACAGTTTCCCCCCTTTATTTTCTCTGTGCTGTCTTTCTGAAATTTGTTAGTTAGCTGTTGGTCCTCTTGGACTGATGCACATTTGTATTATCTTTTGTTTCTATTTTCCATTTCTCTTTTCTGTACTTTTCTAGGAGATGTCCACCTCAAACTCTTCTCTGGAATTTTTGTTCCTGCTGTGTTATTAATTTCTGAGAGCTTTCTCGTGTTCAGAATGTTCATGTTTTCTGGCACCCTCTTCTTGTTTCATGAATACACTCTCTTATCTTTCTGAGGATACTATTATAGTTTCTTGACAGCTTCCTTTGACCTCCACGTTGTCTGTTTCTTCTTACTTCCTCTGTTCTGTTTCCTGTATTTCTCTTTTATGTCAGCAGTTGTTTGCATAGATTTGAGTGAGCCCCTAAAAAGCTTATTGGAAGCAAGTGTGTGGCAAGCTTTGTCCCCTGGTGGACTTCCTCAGGTAATGGGTAGTGAACCAGCTTTTCCAATGCGGGTCTTTAAATGTCAGTGTCAGTAAGTCTTTTCCTCTTGGGCCAGTCAATATCTCTAAAGAAAAATCCCTCATTCTCCTGCTTGGAGGCATCAGCCCAGCTGCATTTGTCCTGGGACCCTTGGATGGAAGGGTGCTAACAGTCTCACTGGTCAGAATGCAGGCTTCTTCTTCTTCTTTTTTTTTTTTTTAATTTTATTTATTTATTTATTTATTTATGGCTGTGTTGGGTCTTCGTTTCTGTGCGAGGGCTTTCTCTAGTTGCGGCAAGTGGGGGCCACTCTTCATCGCGGTGCGCGGGCCTCTCACTATCGCGGTCTCTCTTGTTGCGGAGCACAGGCTCCAGACGCGCAGGCTCAGTAATTGTGGCTCACGGACCCAGTTGCTCCGTGGCATGTGGGATCTTCCCAGACCAGGGCTCAAACCCGTGTCCCCTGCATCGGCAGGCAGACTCTCAACCACTGCGCCACCAGGGAAGCCCCAGACTTCTCCTTAATTTCTGTTTTCTGTCTGTGCCTCGTGTCTGTCCTCAGCTGTGGCAGCATCTCTGGGGATTCCCTGTCTCTGTGGGAGATGGGGAAGTGAAGACCACATCCTGGGCTGCCTGGGTGGGAGAGGGGCTTGGCAGTTTCCCCAAGGAGCTGTTAGATGAGCTCCTGTTTGGTCCCCACATCCGCGCCACTTTCAGATGTCTCTGGGACTCTTAAGCCTGAGCTTTTCTTGGATTTCTGTGGCCTGAGTGAGCTTTGCCTTTGGCTGGTGGCTTTCAGCCCTTCTCCCCGGCTCCCAAAAGGCTGGCGTGGGGACTGCTGCCTGAGGGCTGCAAATCAGTCCATTGCCACTTGTTTACTTTCTAGCTTCCAGAATTTGCTAATGCCTCTAGTCTGCCCTTGTCCCTGTTCTGTTCTTTTTGTCCTTGTAAGTTTCAGCTTTTTAAACCTTGTACATGGGATTCTGGGGTGTCTGGGAAGTAGAGGTTCACGTGTCCAGTACAGCATGTTTGATCAGAAGTTTCCTAACAGGAGCCCTGCTGTGTTATTCTCAGGGTTGCCTGTTAAATATTGAGACTCCCGAGCCTTTTATTTGACTGGTGTATCATGTACATACAAGAAGCATGTAAATCATACATGTACTCCTTGATGAGTGGTCACAAAGCGAATCTGCCCTCGCGGCCACTGCCTAGGTCTGGACATACGGAGTATTACCGGCACCCGGGAGCCTCCGCCCCCCTCTCCCTGTCACTACTCCCTCCTTCCTCCACAGGGCTGATCACTGACCTGGCTTTTAATGCCAGAGGGTCTGTTTTTAAATTGTAAATATGTAGGACCATACAGTATGTGTTCTTTTCGTCTGGTTTCTTTTGCTCAGCACTAAGCTCGTGAGATTCTCCCATGTCACTGCGTGTGTCACTAGGTCCTGCGGTTTTTCGGAGCTGTGTAGCGTTCCCTTGGATGAATGTGCTTCAGCTCATCATTTTACTGCAGCTGGACCTTGGGTCGTTTGTAGTATTGACTGTCGCGAGCTTTGTTGCTGTGCCTGTCCTTGTACGTGTCTCTTGGAGCACAGGTTGTGATAGCTAGAAACGGAGATTGTGGGGTGTGTCTATGTCACCTTTGGTAGATGCCTCCAAACAGCTTTTCTCAGTGGCTGCACGAGCTTACACCTCATCAGTGGTGTGTGCGAAGTCCAGCAGCTCCCTGGCCTCGCAGAATTGGAATTTTGGTCATTTTAAGTTTAGCTGTCTGCTGAGTGTGTTCTGGAGTCACAGTTTGGTTTAATTTCCATTTCCACTCCCTAAGTACTCTTGACCCTGAAGTGGAATGAAGTCCTCTTAAATATATGTCCTGCCTGCGTTTAGAGACGTGGAGCTATCTGCCCTGTAGTCTAGCGCACTTCCTCCTCTTAAGAGAAGAGCTTTTAAGGATGGTCTAGGTAACCTCCGGCCAGCAGCCTGCTACAGGGCGTTCTCGGGATTGTGGGACTTAGACCCAAGAAAGCCCCCTCGAGCTCTCGTTGCATTTTACTATTATTCCAAACTTTAAGTTCACCATGGGCTGACTCTTCATAGTAATGTTTAGCTTTCGTTCTGCTTAGAAGTTTGGACTAATATAGGATGATTCTTTACTTACTGTTTCAGTGATGTGTGTGTGTGTGTGTGTGTGTGTGTGTGTGTGTGTGTGTGTGTGTTCTCACTCAAAGGAGTTCTTTAAAATGTATCTTTCCTTGAAGCTAAAAAAGTTTGTCAGAGATAAGTTGAGTGGTTTTTCCGGGTATTGTCTGGGGAGAAACTGGAGGCCACAATCTACTAGGGGTGTCCTGTGGCCGGGGGTCTGGTCCTCCACCTCTCTGGTTCCAGAGGTCTAATCTGTGAATTCACTGAGCGTTGATGAGCCTCTGAGAAACAGTTTATACCAATACACAGTTAGGGAGAAGCTTGTTTAAGTCAGATGCCAGGCTGTTAATTGGCTGCTCTTGTGCTGGTGGTTAGACTCCCTGGTAGGGCCCCAGTGGTGTCCCTGACTTGCCCAGCGAGGCTCCGTACACGCCCAGCAGCAACTGGGCCAAGTCATTGCTCCGAGCATAGCTTAGAATGATGGGAAAGAGACGTTCTTAAGTGACATAGTCACCAAACTTCTGCAACTGGATGGTCACCCCCTTTCATTCTTTGGATATTTTTGTGAAGACTTAAACGGTCATCGTTAGCACTATAGCACCCCTACAATTATAGCACCCCTCCTTTGGGTTTTCTTGGAGGCACGGTAACAAGTCTTATTCTCTGAATTCTTAGGAAAATAGCTGTGAGGAGTGTGTGGTCTCAGCTCAGTTATGTTGCACACGTTTTCCAGACCTGAGACTGTCTCTTGGTGGCATTAGCAGCACATTTACAAGCCGTCGTTTAGGCTGGGACCTTGCTGTGATTGGCTAGCACTCTTCTCCTGTGGGTTTTTTTGTTTGTTTGTTTTTTACTGCATTTATTTTACCTTTTTTTTTTTTTTTTTTTTTTTTTTTTTTTGTTCTCAGGTTAAAAAGTTGAGTGAACAAAATCATTCCAGTCCTCAATTTAAAGTTTGGGATATAATACAGTGATTTTCTAAAGTAAAGTAAATTATATTCTATTAGAATAAATAATATCAGACTGGATTACCCAAATGAAATATGAAAATAATAAAACAAGAGCATGGCAACTATCCAAACATTTTAGGAAAAAAATTGAAATGAGAATGAAATAAAAGCACATAGCATGTAAAAAAAACAAAAAGGTCATCTCAGAATAGGGATGTAGATGCTGAGCAAGTCCCTACTCAGTCTATAAGGAAATAAATCGACTACATATTTGCAAACTGCTCTGAAATATCCCAGATTTGGTGTGCTTCCTTTCAGCTCTAGGAAGGTCTCAAATTGTTAATGCTTTATACTCTGCAAAAATTTGGAGCAAGTTATGCTTTTTGAAATACATGATGGTTTCTTTTTCTTTTTAATAAATTTATTTATTTTATTTAATTTATCTTTGGCTGCGTTGGGTCTTTGTTGCTGCGTGCGGGCTTTCTCTAGTTGCAGCGAGCAGGGGCTACTCTTCATTGCGGTGTGCAGGCTTCTCATTGCAGTGGCTTCTCTTGTTATGGAGTGTGGGCTTTAGGCACGTAGGCTTCAGGCTTCAGTAGTTGTGGCTCACAGGCTCAGTAGTTGTGGCTCGTTGGCTCTAGAGCGCAGGCTCAGTAGTTGTGGCGCATGGGCTTAGTTGTTCCGCGGCATGTGGGATCTTTCCGGACCAGGGCTCGAACCCTGCATTGGCAGGCGGATTCTTAACCACTGCACCAGGGAAGCCCATGATGCGTTTCACAGGAGCTTCGTCTTCTGTCTACTTGGACTTTGCTTCCACAGGTTCTGTTAAAGGCTTTCATAGCGAATCTGAAGTCCAGCTCTCCTACCGTGCGGCGGACAGCAGCCGGCTCGGCGGTGAGCATCTGCCAGCACTCCAGGAGGACACAGTACTTTTACAGCTGGCTGCTCAGTGTGCTCTTAGGTAAGGCGCAGGCCTGTTAGTGATTCTCCCCGTGGCGGGGTGGTCACTAGTGTTTACTTGAGATAGGCCTTTGAAATTCTTTAAAATCAGGCAGCCCCTCGGCTTCTGGACCGGGCCCTTTAGCCCTGGCCGGCTGGTAAATGTGAACGAGCCCCCGTGGGGTCTCAGTGAGGGTTCTGAGAAGGCTCCTCCCCCTCGGTACAGCGGTGCGGATGCGGCCGGGCCCTCAGACACCTGGCGGGGCAGTGGGCAGGAGCCTTCCCGGGCCTGGCCCTCTGGGCAGCACCACCGTACCACCTCTGCGGAGGCCCCGAGTGCAGGGAGTCCTCGTGGCCGGAAACTGAGGCTCAGGTCCCTGTGAGGAGCCTCTCTGGAGGGGTGTAGGCCTGGTGAAGGCTTCTCCTCTACTGGGGGCAATTGTGGAAATCTGTGCTGGCAGGTGCTGCCGGGAGCATGCAGACAGTCGATGTGAAAGAGCTGCGTGGCTTTCAGAGGCAGTGAAACTCACTCACTGCAGGGCCTCGCTGAGCTGAGGCTTTAAATGTTGCCCCTTAGAGCCAATCCTGGATTTTGGCCGCTACCATGATGTTTGTGCCATCTGTTTCCCTCCCGGCCAGCCTCATGATAGGGTTCTGCTTTGGATCTCTTCTTGTTAACAAAGGAAGCCACAAGTCTCCCAGCAGCGAATCCGATGTGACAGAATCTTGTTGCTGCCTTTGTAGGTTTGCTGGTTCCCGTGGAGGAGGAACGCTCCGCCCTTCTGATTCTCGGAGTGCTGCTCACACTGAGGTATTTGGTGCCCTTGCTGCAGCAGCAGGTCAAGGACACGAGCCTGAAAGGCAGCTTTGGGGTGACACGGAAAGAGATGGAGGTCTCCCCCTCGACGGAGCAGCTTGTCCAGGTGGGCGCCCCTCGCTTTACTCTAGTGCTTGTGCGCACGCGACCCACGTTCGGAGACTCAGCTAATTTGGAAGAGAAGTGGCAGAGCCGAGGCTTAAGAGCATGCACTCTGGAGCCAGACCCCGTGGTTCAGGTCCTAGGTCATGACCCCGGCTACTCCGCCTGTGTGTGGTAGTGATGTCAGATAAAAATGAAGGCGTCCCTTTACAAGGTCACCGAGCGTACTGTTTACGTGGACCTGCTCGAAGCAAACCCCAACCATCGTATTATTTTACTGCAACTATTTCATATGTGTCCCTATAGATGAGGACTCTTTTTTTAAAATTTTAATGACAATGCCCTTGTCATACCTAAAAAAAAGAACACTTTCTTAACATCAAATACCCACGTATCCCCTGTCAGTTTGTTCTTCTGCTCTTTGGAATCAGTACCCAGATAAGATTGGTTGATAAGGATTGTGATTCTCTTTGATCTGATGGTTGCCTTCTATCCCTATTTTTCCCTTAGAGTTCATTTTTTGAAGAAACAGATTGTCCTGTGGAACTCCTGGCAATCTGATTTTTTATTAATTGACTCTCTGTTGTATAAATTAACATGTTTCTTTGTTGTCTGTATTTCCTGTAAGCCAATAACTGGAGCTAGAGACTTGTCAGATTTGGTGCATATTTTATAATATATGTAATGTCTGAGTTCGGTAGTACCTGTACAATATTTTAAAATAAATATTATTGGAGTTGCATGCTCAGAATTTTTTTCTGATGTTTTTTTTAAAAAAAAGGCTGCTTAGTCAAAAGTTTGGAGACCATTGGTCTAGTGGGGGAAGCAAGCAAGCAGTCACTAAATAGCAAGGAGGGGGGTGTAGGGTACTGTAGAGCCCATGGCGGGGGGCACGGGGTGTGCATGAGCAAGGTCAGGGAGGCGTGCTGGGCAGGCTGTTACGAGCTGATGCTTTTGGGTGAGTAGGATTTGAGCAGACACAGGGAGCTGGGAGAAGAGAGTTTTATAGACAGAAGCTACAGCCTCTGCCAAGTCCACAGAGTGAGAGAGTGAAAGTGTGTGGGTGAGGGTGAGCTGGATCCTGTAAAGGTCTCCAGGCTTTCTCACAGGTCAGTAGGGGTGATTGGGGAAGATGGGGCTAGAGGGATATTGAAAACTGTGTTAAACTAAGAGAGCAGTAATCCTGGGAGGATGGAGTGAAGGAGTATGGGATGTGGTGCTTAGTTAATTACAGATTTTCTTAATAGATCATGTTTCTTCAGCATGGTTAAACAACATGATACCTTGTTGCATTAGCAAGCTAGATAAGATTGTCTCTAAAACATATCTAATCTATTTTCTTTTGACTGTTGGCCATTTTGAATGAAATTATTTTGATTAAGAAGTTCAACTCAGCTAATGTAATAATAGTTTGGCTAGCTATATTTAAATAGAATTTAAAATAATCCTGAGCCTGGCTAAACTGTTAAGCAAGCGTGGGCAAAATGTAGATACTTCTAGATATGTAAGAATTCAGTTTGCTTTTCATGTGCACTTACTTTTTCCATGTATGCTTTTTGAAAAAATTATTTGAAGATGTATTCCAGCAAAATGAGAAATAGATAACAAAAAAAGAGGAAGTCCTGAAATCCAAGAAACAAAGCACCTAACCCAGGACTGTGTTAGAAGCAGTTCTAAGAGGACTGGTACCGTGTGCCGTTCAGATTAGAAACAGGGAGTCCAAGGAGCTCCCTGTGACCAGTGTTATGGTTAAGTGCTGGGAAAGAGGGAAGGCATGTGTGTATGTTAAAAGGAGGGGAGAACCAGGAAGATTTATAAAAGTAAGTTATCCAATTATGAAACAAATTAAAATGTTGAATAATTTTAAGCAAGTAAGAGATTATGATAAAAGAGAATCCATTTAACAGTTATCCTTGGGACATTCTCTTTCCAGTGACACAGGACTAGTAATAATGAAATACTTCTTTCTTTTTGGGTCCAGTCACATTAACAGGCTTTGCGGTGAAGGATGTTAATGTACACGTGATGAGACACATACTGATTTTTTCTTTTAATTGGAGTATAATTGCTTTACAATGTTGTGTTAGTGTCTGCTGTACAACGAAGTGAATCAGCTGTACGTATACATATATCCCCTCCCTCTTGCACCTCCCCCTCCCCCACATCCCCCCTATCTAGGTCATCACAGAGCACCGAGCTGAGCTCCCTGTGCTATACCGCAGGTTCCCGCTAGCTACCTGTTTTACACATGGTAGTGTACTTACGTCGGTCGTAATCTCCCAATTCATCCCACCCTCCCCTTCCTGCCCACCGTGTCCACACGTCTGTGCTCTACATCTGCGTCTCTATTCCTGCCCTGCAGATAGGTTCATCTGTACCATTTTTCTAGATTCCACATATATGCCTTAATATGCAATATGTGTTTTTCTCTTTCTGACTGACTTCGCTCTGTATGACAGATGCTCAACATCTAGGCAAAGCACATGTGATTTTAAAAGTTACATCGTAGTAAATAAATGTAACCCTTAATATAAAAGCACTCAGGTTGCTAACAGAATTTGGGAGGAGGCAGGTGAGGTGAGGGAGTGTGGGTGCTCATTTCCCCCATTTACATAGTAAGAAGTCAAGAGATTCTTTGCTCAGAGTAGACAGCTCAGAAATCACGGTGTAAAGCTGATTACCTAGAGCAGGGCTCATGGGCCAACTACTCAACTCCAGCACCGTAGCAGGAAAGCAGCCACAGACAGTACACCCACAGGTGTTCCAGTAAAACTTCATGTGCAAAAACAGATGGAGGGCCAGATTTGCCTGTGGACTGTGGTTTGCAGATCTGTGACCTAGAGTTACGGAGGTAACCGTCAGAGGACCTAAAAACAAGTCAGTCAAAGTAGCCACCTTTGAGACTTTTACTTTTCATTCTATAAACTGCTATACTGTCTTTTTAAAAAACGTATATATGACTTTTATGATATTAAAGGTAAGGCTGCCCAACTTAGCAAATAAAAATAGGGGGTACCAGTTATTTGAATTTCAGATAAATCATCAGTAATCTTGTGGTGTAAGTATGCCTGAAGTTGCATGGGACACAGTTACACTACAGAATTATTTGTTTATGTGAAATTCAGGTTTGGCTGGGTACTCTGTATATTATCTGGCATCTCTAATTAAAGGGAAAAAGGATAAATACACTATGTTCATATAATGTGATACAGTATTAAAAGCACTAATGAAGTTAATGTCGTGAAGTTTAATGTCGTATTAAAAGCACTAATGAAGTTTAAAGCCCTTTCTCAGTGGCACTCATGGCACTACTTCTTGCTTATTAAGTGTGTGTTCCAGTAGCTGTGCGCTCTGTGTATTTTGGGCTTTTTACTAGTCACCAGTTTAGGGAGCTGGAGCTCTTCATTAGCATGCTTCTGCTTTTCTGGAAGTGCTCTATTTACTTTTAAGGAATTAATGTAACAGTGAAAAACATCCTGGGACTTTAGGAAACAGCATGGAAGCTGTGATCACACTGGTAGAAGGGATAGAGAAGTTTTTAGAGAGTGAAATTAAGGCACAAATTTTCCCGACGTAAGACAAAACAAAAACCTGAAACCTAGGACACATTTTAAAAACCATGGGAATAACGCTGGTGTTTCTGTTTCTAGGTGTACGAATTGACCTTGCATTATACTCAGCACCAAGACCACAATGTTGTGACTGGGGCACTGGAACTCCTGCAGCAGCTCCTCAGAACCCCTCCACCTGAGCTCCTGCGAGCGCTGACCGCAGCGGGCGGCATCAGGCAGCTCACTGCCGCTAAGGATGAGCCCAGTTGCCGAAGTCGTAGCGGAAGTATCGTGGAGCTTATAGGTGAGGCGTTAGGAAGGTGCCTCTTGGAGTCCACCCTGCAGTGTTCTTGGCCCCTCTCCTGACCCTTGTCCGATGCTGTGCTGAGCAACTTAGGAGACTTGCGATGCAGGTGTCGTCCTTATTGTGTAGACGGGGCAGGGCTGAGGTGAGAAGGCTAGGTGGCAGGGTGAGGCCAGCACGTGAAACCTGCCTCCTGCATCTGACTCGGCTGCCTCTGCGCGGCGTTTCATCTGTCGTGAAGTGGAAGCATTCGGGAAGGGATTTCCAGACCCTGTGTCCCTTTGCCAAAGGTGGGCTCTTCAGGTCTTCCTGGAATTCTGGACTCCTTTTCTGCCCTCTGGGCCCTTTTTGCTGTCACGCCCGATTCTAGAAAACCCCTTCTGTTCCTCGTGTCGTGGCGCCTCCTCCGCCCCATCTCTGCTCTTCTTCCCCCCGCTCTTGGGCACTGGGCCCTAATCCCGCCGCAGGATGCTGCTGCAGACCTACCAGTCTAATGTGGAGTTGCCCCTGGGGAGCTGGAAGAGATGGGTCCCTGAGTCGCAGCCTCTAGAACTGGGTCTGGCTCAGAGGCGGAGGCTTCTTTCTGCAGCCTTTGCTGACTGCACTGAGTAGGCCTGGTGCATGGGGTCCGTTTAGTGCAGTGTGGGTGTGGTATGGCCTTTACCCACAGCATCTGCAGACCAGGGAAGGTTGGCGGGAAGTCTGACTGCTGCCTCGTTTGAACACAAGTGTTTGCCTGAGCCATGAGTAGAAAATGTTGATCTGCCTGTCCACTGTCCTTTGTACTGAACAATCCTTTTCTCTGTGGAATGCATGCCTTACAAATAATTGCTGGAAATACTAATTTCTAATGATTGTTTCTAATGAAAATTTGTATTTAATTATTAATTGACCAAATAATCCGAGATTTCTAATGTTTTTAGTTTGACTTTTTAAATGCACTTTGAGCTCTTTTGCATTTTAGGTCATATCTTTAGGACTGTATATTTGAGTGTTAATATAATTTTCACGTTGAAATTAAAATTGTAACATGCGGTTTTCATGTTACAGTGTGGTAGTTAAGCACCACCTGTAGAAATATGTTCACATATTTTCTAGTTTTAAAGTTGAATCAAGCGTAAAGATTTTCTAATTCCTTCTGGATTTTAGCGGCTTGTTACCTTACTTTCATCTGTCATTTTCTGTGATTTACAGCTGGAGGGGGTTCTTCATGCAGCCCTGTCCTTTCAAGAAAACAAAAAGGTGATTATTTCAGAAATGATTCTTATTTTGAATCTTACTGCTTTTTCCATATTTCTGTAACGTAATTGGCTATGCCTATAACTCTTCTCAACAGGGTGATTATATGTATAAGTGTTGCTGGAATCTGATAACCAGGCCTGAATAGTCCTGTAGGATGGCTTTTTAAAGAATAAATAATTAATTAATTTATGGCTGCATTGGGTCTTCGTTGCTGTGCGTGGGCTTTCTCTAGTTGCGGCGAGCGGGGGCTACCCTTTGTTGCAGCGAGTGGGCTTCTCATTGCGGTGGCTTCTCCTGTTGCGGAGCACAGGCTCTAGGTGTGCGGGCTTCAATAGTTGTGGCTTGCGGGCTCTAGAGCGCAGGCTCAGTAGTTGTGGCGCACGGGCTTTGTTGCTCTGCATCGTGTGGGATCTTCCCGGACCAGGGCTTGAACGCGTGTCCCCTGCATTAGCAGGTGGATTCTTAACCACTGTGCCACCAGGGAAGTCCCTAGGATGGGTTTTAAAAGTTGCTTGTGTATCAGAATTGGTTTGTCATATATTTCCTTTTTTTTTTTTGGTTGTACCACGTGGCTTATGGGATTTTAGTTCCCTGACCAGGGATTAAACCCGGGGCCCCGGCAATGAGAGCACCGTATCCTAACCTCTGGCCCACCACAGAATTCCCTGTCATAAATTTCTAATGCTTTAGGCCAGGGGTCAGCAAGTGTTTTCTGTAAAGGGCCAGGTGGTACACATTTTAGCCTGTGGCCCTTACTGTCTCTTTTGCAATGATTCAACTCGGTCCTGTGGCAGGAAGGCAGCCATAGACAATACTAAGCTAATGGGTGCAACTTCATTCCAGTACAGCTTTATTTTACAGAACTGGGTGAGCTGGAGTTGGCCTTCTCCTGCTTTAGGGAATGTTATGTTTATAAAGGTAACTCATCTTCCCAATGAGTTTTGTTTAGTATTAGGAATAGTGTTTGGTTAATTGTTTGGTGAATTGGGGCCTGGTTGTCATTTTTCAGACATATTTAGCTTTGTACATACCTAAGTTTCTGATACAGTTTGTTTATTTTTATTTAATCAAAGTGTGTCTGACATGGTCTGATACCTTTGGTACAGGTCATCACTTATAGCACCAATTATGTTCTGTTGCAGTCTAGATTTCCATAGGAAAGAATTGCTGTTGTTTTCTATTTTGAAATCCTAAAAGACTTATACCGTTTTTGGGTTTTTATTTTTGAGGTATAATTGACATATAACAACTAATCTTTTACATACAACATACTAATCTTTTTTGTGTGTCATGTGTTGAGTATTTAATTGAGAGCCTAATGCCTAATACTATTTGTAGTATTGAATGGGATCTTAACAGGAATAATATTCTAGCCTTAACTGGATTAAGTAAGCATTTCCTAGAGGTACTTAGAATTAATAATATTTGGGCCATTGTAGTGTGGGATACTTAGTCAAGTTTGGGATTTTGGTGAAAACACTGAGATTGCTTGAAAACTGAAAGGGTTCCAGGAAAAGCTAGCCTTTCTATTCTTGAACTAGGAAGAGATTTTCAGGCATGTGACTAGATTGCTCTGGCACTTGCCTTGTTTGTTTCTCGGTCACTTTTTCTGATGATGATAAGATGACTCGTTGACTGGTAGAGATGTATTTTGTTTTCTTGGGGCTAGGACATGCGATTTGTCCTCAATCTCTTTTTTGTTTTTCAAGTGTTTTGTTGTTGTTGTTTTTATTTAGAGCTGCAGTTTTCACAGTTTCCTGTCATAGCTGCAGAACTCTTTTTTTCAAGTGAAATCTGCCAGTACATAGGAGAGAGAAAAACAGAGTTGTTGTTGTTGAATGTAAGGGTGAGGGCTGGGGGTTGTGGCCTGGCATCTTGGCAGCAGCCTGGCCCTTGCCCCCTCTTCGGGAGAACTCCTTGGAACATTCCAGATTTGCAAACTACTGTTTCCAGAGACAGAGACTGATTTCATTAACTCTGAATTCACAGGTTGGAATGTTATTTGCTTTCTCAAGGTAAATCACTTGTTCTGTAATAAAGGACCCTGTTATTTAGTAGATAAGCCAAGTTGCTGTGTTAGTTTCATCTAGATTTTGAGTTTCCTTTGCTTTTTTCTGGGGTGGGGGGAGGGCTTTAATGTCATATCAGTGTAGATTTATGGAAGTTATCACCCCTATGACTTAATCTTTGAAGAGCAGTGAAATCAGAAATTGGAACTTACCAGTAATTATATTGATAGTGTTGGTTAATGACATTTATATGTAATATAACCAGAATGATTTAATGATCCCAGTTAAATCATGTTAAGACTTTTGTTTTCTTTTTTCTTATTAATATAATTTAGAAACCATGAACTGTGAAATGTATTTTTAGGATTTTGCAAAAGGTGAAATATTATTCCATCCTCACAGATCATAACAGTACCTGAGTACTGATTATCAATGATAGAAATCTAGCAGATTAAAAGATAATAAAATAAAAGTGACTTTTAGCTATAAAAGTTTTATATATAAGTTTTGATGTGCCATTGGAGATATGACATGAATATTCCAAAGGCTAATAGAATTGGTTCTAGCCATAACTTACCATTTTTAAGATTAAATAGTAATATAAATTATTTAACATTAACAGTAGTCTAAGTCAATAAATATTAATTATTAAAGTACTTTGTAGTACAGATTGAGAATCGTTGCTTTTAATTCTTTTTCCATATAGGTTTATTGACTTTGATAATACTCTAAGTATGATATCTCTGCATTTTTTGTGTTTCACACTCTAGAGGTATAAAGGAACTTATATATAATGATGGACTGAGAGCAGGAATTAAATATGCTTACGATATTCCTCTTGGAATGTACATTTATTTGATTTTCAAAGTTCGTCCTTTTAGCAAAGCTTAAAAGGACTCTCGCTACATCATTTCCTAGGGAAAGTGCTCTTTGGAGAAGCAGCAGCCTTGGAGGATGACTCTGAGTCAAGGTCAGATGGCAGCAGCCCCACCTTTTCAGGTAGCTCTCTCGGAGTGGCCGTGGTGTCCTCCTTGCTCTCCCCTGCTGCGCCCACCTCCTCCCCTCCCCTGCACCTCCATGGATCTTGCTCCTGGGAGGCAGCAGTGAAGCCAGCTCGCTCAAATGGTGGATGATTCAGGAGTCTTTTATAGTGTTCACTTTGAAATGTGTGTGTTTTCTTGCATCAAGTGTTTGCTGTTTTCCCTGGTTTAAGCTGTTTTAAAATTAGGTTTGTACTCCCGGAGTATAAGTCTTTTGGAGAAGAGGATGGTGGGTGAATTGCATGGGTTGTGAGGGGGAAGATGGGGTTAAAAATTGTCTGAGGCTCTGAACCAGAAAGAAATAGAAAATATGAACAGACCGATTATCAGTATTGAAATTGAATCAGTAATTTAATAACTCCCAAGAAACAAAAGTCCAGGACCAGATGGCTTCACAGGTGAATTCTACCAGACATTTAGAGAAGAGTTAACACCTATCCTTGTGAAACTCTTCCAAAAAATTGCAGAGGAAGGAACACTTCTAAACTCATTCTATGAGGCCACTGTCACCTTGATACTGAAACCAGACAAAGATATCACAAAAAAAGAAAATTACAGGCCAGTATCATTGACGAACATAGATGTAGTCAAATAGGATTTATCCCAGGGATGCAAGGATTTTTGAGTATCCACAAATCAGTCAATGTGATAGACCACGTCAACAAACTGAAGAATAAAAACCATACGATCATCTCAATAGATGCAGAAAAAGCTTTTGAAAAAATTCAACATCCATTTATGATAAAAACTCCAGAAAGTGGGCATAGAGGGAACATACCTCAACATAATAAGGGCTATATATGACAAACGCACAGCCAACATCATACTCAATGGTTAAAAGTTGAAAGCATTCCATCTAAGATCAGGAACAAGACAAGGATGCCCAATCTCGCCACTTTTATTCAACATAGTTTTGGAAGTCCTAGCCACGGCAATCAGAGAAGAAAAAGAAATAAAAAGAGTCCAAGCTGGAAAGGAAGAAGTAAAACTGTCAGTGTTTGCAGATGATACTATACATAAAAAATCCTAAAGATGCCACCGGAAAACTACAAGAGCTCATCAATGAATTTGGTAAAGTTGCAGGATACAAAATTAATATACAGAATTAATATACACTAACAATAAAATGTCAGAAAGAGAAATTAAGGAAAGAATCCCATTTAGCATCTCATCAAAAAAAGGAAAACAAAAACCTAGGAATAAACCTACCTAAGGAGGCAAAAGACCTATACTCCAAAAACTATAAGACACTGATGAAAGAAATTGAAGACAACATAAACAGATGTAAAGATATACTGTGATCTTGGATTGGAAGAATCAATATTGTTAAAATGACCATACCCCCAAGGCAATCTACAGATTCATTGCAATCCCTATCAAATTACCAGTGGCATTTTTCACAGAACTGGAACAAAAATTTTTTTTAATTTGTATGGAAACACAAAAGACCCTGAATAGTCAAAACAATCTTGAAAAAGAAGAATGGAGCTGGAAGAATCACTCCCTGACTTCAGACTCTACTACAAAGCTACACTAATTAAAACAGTATGGTACTGGCACAAAAACAGAAACATAGATCAGTGCAACAGGCTAGAAAGCCCAGAAATAAACCCACACACTTATGGTCAATTAATCTACAACATATGAGGCAAGACTATACAATGGAGGAAAGACAGTCTCTTCAATAAAGTGGTGCTGGGAACACTGGACAGCTGGATGTAAAAGAAGGAAATTAGAACATTCTCTAAACCATATACGAAAATAAACTAAAAATGGATTGAAGACCTAAATGTAAGAACAGATACTACAAAACTCCTAGAGGAAAACATAGGCAGAATACCCTTTGACATAAGTCACAGCAGTGTTTTTCTGGGTCTGTTTCCTAGAGTAATGGAATTAAAAGCTTTTGCACAGCAAAGGAAACCATAAAGAAAATGAAAAGACAACCTACAGAATGGGAGAAAATATTTGCAAGTGACGAGACCGACAAGAGATTAATTTCCAAAATATACAAACAGCTCATACAGCTTCATGTAAAAAAATATACAACCCAATCAAAAAATGGGCAGAGACCTAAATAGACATTTCTCCAAAGAAGACATAGAGATAGCCAACAGGTACATGAAAAGATATTCATTATCACTAATTATTAGAGAAATGCAAATCAAAACTACAATGAGGTACCACCTCACACCAGTCAGAATGGCCATCATCAAAAAGTCTACAAATAATAAATGCTGGAGAGGGTGTGGAGAAAAGAGATCCCTCCTACACTGTGGGTGGGAATGTAAATTGGTCGAGCCACTACGGAAAAGTGGAAGTGTGGAAGTTCCTTAAAAAACTGAGCTACTATATGATCTAGCAATCTCACTCCTGGGCATATATCCAGAGAAAAACATGGTTTGAAAGGATACACGCACCCACATGTTCACTGCAGCACTACTCACAATAACCAAAACGTGGAAACAACCTAAATGCCCATCGACAGAAATGCTTAAAGAAGATGTGGTACATATATGCGATGGAATACTATTCAGCCGTAAAAAAGAATGAAATAATGACATTTGCAGCAACATGGATGGACCTAGAGATTATCATACTAAGTGAAGTAAGTCAGACGGAGAAAGACAAATATCGTATGTTAGCACTTATATGTGGAATCTTAAAAAGATGATACAAATGAACTCGTTTACAAAACAGAAACAGATTCACAGACAAAGAAAACAAACTTATGGTTACCAAAGGGGAAAGAGCAGGAGAGGGATAAACTGGGAATTTGGGTTTAACAGATATACACACTATTATATATAAAATAGATAAACAAGGACCTACTGTATAGCACAGGGAACTATATTCAATGTCTTGTAAAAACCTATAATGGAAAAGAATCTGTAAATATATATATATATATATATACGCATGTAGGCGAATCACTGCTGTACACCTGAAACATTGTAAATCAACTATACCTCAATTAAAAAAAATTGTCTGAGGATAATTTAACTTGAAAGAAATTTACATTTGTTTACAAATAGTTATCTAAGCTCTTTATTCGTCTTGTGAAAGATGAGTATTTAGTAAGATACTAATAATTGGATGAAATGAGAGTGGTTTGGGTTGTATAACCCTGTGCAAAATAATATTTTTAGATAACTGAAAATGAGGCTGAAATACTGGGGAAGGAAAATCTGAATAATTTCAGTGGTGATTACTTACTGATTGATTTAGTCTACAAAATAGAAATTGATTTTTTAACTTACAAAAATAAAGTTAAAACAACAAAAAACTTACAGCTATACACAACATTATAAAGCCCAAGTGCTCATTGACCCACTGGCCTACAGGAGTGACACTGCTAACAGCTTGGTGTAGATTTTTATGTAGTGGTAGTATATTTATTTATTTATTTATTTATTTATTTGTAAATAAATAATTTCATTTATTTGGTTGCACCGGGTCTTAGTTGCAGCAGGTGGGCTCCTTAGTGGCAGCTTGCCAGCTCCTTAGTTGTGGCATATGAACTCTTAGTTGAGGCATGCATGTGGGATCTAGTTCCCTGATCAGGGATCAAACCCAAGCCCCCTGCACTGGGAGTGCAGAGTCTTAACCACTGTGCTACCGGGGAAGTCCCCATAATGGTGTTGTTTTGTTTTGTTTTGTTTCTAACGGGAATTTAAAAACTAAAATAGGAAAATGTGAAACTTTATGCTACCAGAGAGTAGGACTGGCTTAGAGGTCTTGAACGGGGTCTGGGAAGAAGGAAAGCCCACCTCCAAGAGCACTGCTTGCTTAGAGCTCCAGGCATTTGGTTTTTTGTTTTTGTTTTTGTTTTTTTAAATAAATTTATTTATCTTTGGCTGCGTTGGGTCTTTGTTGCTGTGCGTGGGCTTTCTCTGGTTGCGGTGAGCGGGGGCTACTCTTAGCTGCTGTGCGCGCGCTTCTCATTGCAGTGGCTTGTCTTGTTGTGGAGCACGGGCCCTAGGCACGCAGGCTTCAGTAGTTGTGGCTCTTGGGCTCTAGAGCGCAGGCTCAGTAGTTGTGGCGCACGGACTTAGTTGCTACGTGGCATGTGGGATCTTCCCGGATCAGGGCATGAACCCTGTCCCCTGCATCGGCAGGCGGACTCTCAACTACTGCACCACCAGGGAAGCCCTGCTCCGGGCATTTGTGACCACCCAGCCTGTGCCCCTGACCAGGCTGCCTAGGAATCGCCCAAGTCTTGTCGCTGCTCCACGCTCAGGCTGGACCAGTTGCTTAAGAACTAGAGGTGGTAATGTTTCTGGGCAGGGTTCAGGTTTTGCACTGAAATGCCATTTGAGAATATTCACAGCACTTAAAAAATATCTACTTGTGATCCTTATTTTATCAATACCGTAATATAGTAAAAGGTAAGTAAATAATACAGTAAACATGTTTGAAGGATGCACTGTTGTCTTGCTTTTGAAATTGAGTAGTTCATATTTTCACTGTATTTCAGGGATTCTTGCAGTTAAAACATTTGCTGATAGTGAATTTTGGGGTATTTTGCAAATATTTGGTCCCATATTGAATGCTTTTCCTGACCCTTTGAAGAATGAGTGTTTCTTTGTCTTCAGCCTCAGTCAAGGGTGAGATTGGTGGTGAGCTGGCTGCCTCTTCTGGGGTCTCCACTCCTGGCTTAGCTGCCGACTCTGTGGGTCACGACATCATCACTGAGCAGCCCCGCTCACAGCACACACTTCAGACGGACTCGGTGGATCTGACCGGCTGTGACTTGACGAGCGGTGCCACTGATGGGGACGAGGAGGACATCTTGAGCCACAGCTCCAGCCAAATGAGCGCCATCCCGTCTGACCCTGCCATGGACCTGAACGATGGGACCCAGGCCTCCTCTCCCATCAGTGACAGCTCCCAGACCACCACCGAGGGGCCCGATTCAGCCGTGACCCCTTCCGACAGTTCTGAAATTGTGAGTGGTTGGAGGGGGCAGCCCAGTTTCTTCAGAGGGGCCTTCCCTGGAGGCCCAGACCTGGACCCTCCTGCTGGTTCACTCCATTCATCTGACCCACTGATAATAGTGTAGAGGTCACCAGCTCAGATCCTTAACAGGCAGCTCGGCCCCATCTGAGTCCTTCACTGAAGGAAACAGCCCAGTGTCTTTTGTGTCGAACGTGGAGGTCAATTAAAAGTGCATTAAAAATTTCTTAATATCTTGTTGGGCACAGGTTAAGTCATTATTTTGAAAGTCCTTGAGGAGCCTGTTATTAACAGATCTGTGGTCTTAATGCAGTATGATTAATAACATTAATACTGTGCATTATTTTAACACTTTTTGACTTTTCAAAACCTTTTACAACATATCCCATCTTGAGCATGGATCTGAGGGCCTCTTTGAGTTAGTGGACAAGAAACACCTCAAGACTGGTCTAAAGTTTGGTACAGGTATATACCAAATTTTACAGCCCCATTTTATCGAAACAGTTTGTACTATTAATTGTTCTGCTACTATTGAATGTATTTTATTAAGAATATATACATATATATTTTTTACTTAAATGAATACAGAAACTGTGCGTTACAAATCATGAGCTAAAGCACTGGCAGCTCTCCACTTGTCATGTGGATGTGGTTCCGAATGGCCGGGTGGATTGCCACTTACTCGTCTGGAGAAGTGGGCTCACGGTTGGGGTTTTTAACTAGAAGACCTGGAGGAGGATAGGACAGATAATGGGAATGGTGGGAAATGATTTTAAGTCAGGAAAGGGTGAAGAGTGCTAACCAGTAGGCCGGGAGAAGAGAAGGTTGGGAACGTGCTGGGCTCAGTAGCACGTTAAGTGTGCGGAGGCAGTTTCTGTTGTTTGCTTATTGCACCAGCTTTCATCTTGCCTTTTTACAGTAGATAATTTCTGGGCAGGTTTGCTAGAAGTAGGACTGAATGACCATAGGAGGTTGTGAAAGCATCCCGTCTGGGAGTGCTACAGCAGCTGTATGTTGTGTGGTAGGGCTGGGCCAGGGACCCACGCCGGGCTGTAGCCTGTAGGGAACTAAACCTCTTCCCTTGATGCTTCTCACACTGGCAGAGTTCTTTCTGATTTATGAGGTGCTTCCATGTCCTTTATTTAGTCATTAGTTATTTGCTGAACAAATGTACTGAGCATCTTTTATGTTCCAGGGATTGTCCTGCAAGCCGCAGATGAGGTAGAGGGCACAACATACAAAACTGCTCACACAAAGCTAATCTATATTTTTAAAATTTAATTAATTAATTAATTTATTTATTTTTGGCTGTGTTGGGTCTTCGTTTCCGTGCAAGGGCTTTCTCTAGTTGTGGCGAGTGGGGGCCACTCTTCATCGCGGTGCGCAGGCCTCTCACTGCTGTGGCCTCTCTTATTGCGGAGCACAAGCTCCAGACGCGCAGGCTCAGTAGTTGTGGCTCACGGGCCTGGTTGCTCCGCAGCATGTGGGATCTTCCCAGACCAGGGCTCGAACCCGTGTCCCCTGCATTGGCAGGCAGATTCTCAACCGCTGCGCCACCAGGGAAGCCCAAAGCTAATATTTTAGAGTGGGAGTCCTCAAACTCTTCCCATTTAGGGCCAGATAATAAGTATCTTTGGCTTTGTGAACCATGTGACCTGTGTTGTATACTCATCTGTGCTGTTGAAGTGCCAGAGCAGCCGTAAATATGTAAATGAATGAGCATGACTGTGTTCCAATAAAACTTTATTTACAAAAACAGCTGGTGGGCCAGGTTTGGCACACCGAAGAAGATGTAGTTTGCCTGCCTCTGTTCTAGAGGGTGTGCCTGTGTGTGGGTGGGGCAGATGATGAGCCAGTAATCAACAGGTAAATAAACACATAGTCAGATAGCAATAAGTGCCATAGAGAAAAATAAGCCAACTGTAGGGGGTCGGGATTGTCCTCATGAGATAGCCCAGTGTGGGGCTTGTCTTGGAGGGAGCCCACCACGATGAGAATTCTGGCTCGGCCATTTACTAGCTGTGTAGCCTAGCACAGTTATGGCCCTTCTTGCCTCAGTTTTCTTATCCACGAAATGAAGATGATGACAGTACTTATGTTAAGACTTACGAGGATAAGGGAAATAATACATGTAATTACTTTTGAGCCTGCCTGGGGTGTAGTATGATATTCAAAAAATGTTGTCTTTTATTGTGGTGAAACTTCTCATTTTAACCTGTATGGGTTCTTTTTTTTTAAACAGTCTGGAGAGTGGAGGAAATCATTTCTTTCTTGGTTGTTTTTGAGCAAGTAGCTCAGTTTCTTTTTAATTTAATTGGAGGGATTTGGGATGATTTTTTAAATGGTATAGAATTTATTTCAGTAATAATTTAACTTGCATACTGAAGGTACCTCACTCAGTTTTTCAGGTCAGTTACAATTGGATGTGAAAAATTTTGCTGTATGAAATCATAACCCACATATATGGCTAAATATATGAAATATTGCACCCAAAACTTAGTTGGGTCATTTCTAGCAGTTTAGGGGATAACCTACTGGTAGACTTTTGTCTAAAAGATTTTTCCTCATTTTTGACTTACTGTAAAATTTGCTTGTGAACACAAAGACTTTTGTTTGGATTTTTTTCTTTTTGTAATCAAAAAGAGAAATGTTCAGATTGGGATTGTTTTGGAATTTTTAGAGTTACAAAAGCTTTTTATAATGTAGCAGTAATGCGTGGTCAGTCAGCTCTTGATAATGTACACGCACGCACCCATGTGTACTTGAAGAAGTGACCTTCGTGTTGGCATGTGAGATGTGGTCCGTGTTATTTGTGGGGTTTTGCCGTTGCCTTCCACGTTGGAGGGCTTGCCCCTCGGTGGTCGCACTTCAGAACCCTCATAGCCCCTCTTGAACTGTTTAGGTATTAGATGGTGCCGACAGCCAGTACCCAGGGATGCAGGCGGGGCAGCCCCAGGACGAGGACGAGGATGCTGCTGTGGTTCTTCCTGATGAAGACGCGGAGGCTTTCAGAAACTCTTCCATCGGTACGTTGACTTCAGGCCATGTACCACAGAGCGGCCTTGTCTTCAATCCTGACCTCTTATATCTCAGCTTCTGAGAAGAAATCTTCTGGTGTCTTTGTTTCCTGAGGTGTAAATAGAAAATGAGGAAAATCAATTGAGAAGTTATTATCCTTTTTTTGATCTAAATCCTGTGGTTTCATATTGACTTTGTGTAAATATGTGTATTTGTGTTTTAATTGGAAACTTGTCACTTAACCTCTCTTTCTCTGATTTTGAAGCCCTTCAACAAACACATTTGTTGAAAAGCATGGGCCACAGCAGGCAGCCCTCTGACAGCAGTATAGATAAATTTGTCTCAAGAGATGAAGCTGCTGAGCCAGGAGATCCAGAAGACAAGGTGAGACCCTTAGGCCCGAGCCTGCTCAGCATCCCGAGCTCCCGTGAGTGTTCGGCAGCGCCCTGGCTGCTGCCTGTCCACCGAGCTCTTGGCTTTCCCGTCGCTGAGCTTTTGCTCAGCTGTTTCCCCTTCGCATATTGACCTCTTCCCGGGTCTGCTCTGCTTTTCTACCTCTCCAGGTGTGAGCGCGTCCTCGCCATCTGGTGGTCACGTATGGCCTTGCAACATTCTTGGTTTTGTTCCATTGAATTGATTTGTTTGTTTGTTTATTTATTGTGGTAGAATACTCATAACATAAAATTTACCGTCGTAACCATTTTTAAGTGTACAGTTCAGTGGTATTAAGTGCATTCACACTGTTGTGCAGCCATCACCACCATCCGTCCACAGAACTTTTCTCATCTTCCCAAACTGGAACTCTGTCCCTGTTAAACACAAACCTCCCGTTCCCCCGGCCCTCAGCCCCTCTCACCCACCATTCTGCTTTCTGTCTCTATGGATTTGGTGACTCTAGGGACCTCATATACGTGGAATCATGCGGGATTTGTCCTTTTGTGACCGGCTTGTTTCACTCAGCAGAATGTCCTCAAGGTTCATTCGTGTTGTAGCCGGTGTCAGAACATGTTTACTACATTTTGCTTTTCTCCTACATTTTGCTTTTCTCCTCATCTCTTGATGGACACTTGGGTTACTTCCACATTTTGTCTGTTGTAAATAATGCTGTTCTCAGTGAGTGTACAAATACCTCTTCAAGACCCCGACCCTGATTTCATTTCTTCAGCGTATGTATCAGAAGTGGAATTGCTGGATCATGTGATAGTTCTGTTTTTAATTTTTTGAGGAAACACTGTACTGCTTTCCACAGCAGCTGCACCATTTTACATTCCTACCCACAGTGCACCAGCGTTCCATTTTCTCCACATCTCCACCAGCACTTGCTATTTTCTGATTTTTTTTGAGTGGCCATCACTCTGGGTGTGAAGTGGTGTATCAGTGTGGTTTTGATTTGAATTTCCCTGATGATTAGTGATGTTGAGCATCTTTTCATGGGTTTATTGGCCATTCATATGCCTTCTTTGGAAAATGTCTATTCAAGTCCTTTGTCCATTTTTTAATCAGGTTATTTGGGTTTTTTTGTTGCTGCTCAATTGTCCATTGAGCTATTTTACGATGACCTCTTCTGCTTACCTTTTCCATGTAAGTGTCCTGTATTCCCAGTTAATTTTAGATTCCTTGAGGCCAAGAAGTATTGTTTCATACTTAGTCCCTCCATGATGCTCAGTCACTGTAGCGACCTCGGCTGTTCCTTCCGGGCCCCCTCGCACCAGGCCCACCCCTTGCAGCTTTGGGCTCCCCCAGGCTCTTTCCTGTGCCCGAGGAGCTTCCCCCGGATGCCAGGTCTCAGCTGCCCTCCTGTGTGGCTCCCTCCCTGCACGTTGGGCTCATCCCTGCCACAGCCCACAGGGCCCCGGGTCAGGACTCCCTCTGGCTGGTCTGATTCTGCTCTGCCGTGGCCCGTGAGGTTGGCCACCTGTGGGTGAAGGTAGGCGTCTCTGAATCCCAAGCGCCTGGCACAGCTGCTGTTCTGGAACTATTTGTTGGATGAACTAACGAATCAATGGGTGGGTTCCATGATTATAAGACAAACAAGTGTCAGTTTTTTTGTTCCAGCCCTGCCGGATCAAAGGCGACATTGGCCAGTCCAGTGATGAAGATTCTGCTCCTCTTGTCCATTGTGTCCGCCTTCTGTCCGCTTCATTTTTGCTAACTGGGGAAAAACACGGTAAGTGTAGAAAGGCAGGTGCAGAGTTGAAGGGAATGACTTTAGGTTTCAGAGGTCATCTTGGGAACGAGCTTTGTGCCTGTTTGCAGCAGACAGAGTAGAATCTGGGGATGAGCTTTGGTTTTCACTGACCGGTGGGGGAGGGAGGGGAAGACGGGAGCAGCTGGTTTAGTGGGTCTAGTTTTGTGTATTTGGAAGCTAGATATGTGCTGCTTTGAAGCTGAAGGTGACCCAGGTGTATTTGTTTGCAGCCTTGGTTCCGGATAGGGATGTGAGGGTCAGCGTGAAGGCACTGGCGCTCAGCTGTGTTGGAGCTGCTGTGGCCCTTCACCCTGAATCTTTCTTCGTCAGACTTTACAGAGCACCGCTTGACACTATGGAATACCCTGGTACGTTCAAAGTTTGTATCCTATTCCTCACGTTCAGTCATTATTTTGAAAACTATTTCAAACCGTCTTGACTATTTTAGTTTTAGAGCACTAAGTTTTCTTAGCTAATTTGCGGCATTTGAGGTGTGTTCTCCATGAAACACATAAATAGTCATGTTTTTAGCTTCCTGGACCCCCTATAGATGCAGTGTTTAGTTGAAACACATACAACAAAGCAATAGAAATCTGGGAACGTCAGAGCTGATTTGCATATGAGTTGGATTTATACCAAAAGCACAAATTGTATATAATCAAAATTGCTTTGGGCCACACCACCCAGGCCAGGTGTTCACACTGAGAGCCAGTGGGCACCGAGACCAGCTGGGGCAGCAGCAAGCCAGTCTCCTGTCATGCGTGTTCTGGGGCGTATTCTCACGATGGGGTGAATGGTGGGAAGACTCACTCTCCTAAAGTTATCCTCCCGCCTGCTCTCTGTCTTTCCTTGGGCAAGGGGACAACCCATGCTTTTGAATTTATATTAGGTAAGTATGGACAAGTTTGAGGTTCTCTAATAATTTTTTGAGATGAAACCTTGGAATTTTGATTATTGGCTGACAACCTGGAATTATAATCCAGAAAATCTATTGTGTTGAAGGATGAATATAGAATCTTTAAACCCCGAAACGTTTTTACCACTGATGGTTATTATATTCAAGTCTTTTCTAGATTAGGATCACTGCCTCGCCCTCTTTTTCTTTCCTGAGAATTCAGCCTTTGCCCTGAGTTAGAAAGTTGACGGTAGGGACTTGTACAGTGGCTGGCTGTCTCTCTCCACAGAGGAGCAGTACGTGTCAGACATCTTGAACTACATCGACCATGGGGACCCACAGGTCAGAGGAGCCACAGCTATCCTCTGTGGGACCCTTGTCTCCTCCATCCTCAGCAGGTCCCGCTTCCACGTGGGAGACTGGATGGGCACCGTCAGAACTCTGACAGGTAACGTCGAGTGTTCAGTTTTCAGTGTTGTCTCTTCCAGATGGCATTCTCATGTTCAGGTTCACATGAAGGTGTTTGTTCCTTGCTCTTCC